AGCATTGACCCCCTTGTGACGGGTAATTTTCACTACCTAACTCCAAATCCTATAAAACGGGCCCCACACTATCTTCCGTTTCCCTTGACTCTCTCTTCGGACTTAAACCCGCCTGCACCCAGTGATTAAAAAGCTTTATCTGCTCACACAAAGCTTTTGGGTCTCCTCACAAGGACATTCAGTGAAAGCGCGGGTTCACATATTGGTCCAGTGCTGGTCTCGAACGCCTGACCCAAGAGATTCACTTACCTTGGCCTCCCAAAGTGCTGGATTACAGAAGTGAGTCACCGATGCCCAGCTGTTCTATTCTGTTTCATTCCATATTTTTTCATTGAAAAAAAAGGTCACAACCCACTAAATGTGATTTCATAAATCAATAATGGGGTCAAGGCCAGCAAATTGAAAAATATGAGACTATAGGCATTTTGAATTGTGTTATCCAAGCTGATCTGCACTCTCCACATACAATACAAACTGCGGTGGACCCTGCTGCCAATGAAGTATGCGATGCTAAGGGGGAGACATAGCTGGCTGCCCTCCCACATCCATTCTCTCCCCTCCTTCCTATGTGGTGGCTCAACTAGAGTTTCCCAGCTTCCTTTGTGGCGAGATGGGACCATGTGACTACAGTTAATCGACCAATAAAAGTAAGTGGAAAACTGTGTGACTGCACTACTTGGTAAAAAAAAAATAAGAAAATCCCTTGCTCTGGACTTCTTCCCTTTCTCCTTCCTGTCCAGAACCTAATTATGAACAACAACCTGACTTTGCACCACGCAGAGGAGGAGAATGGCCTACCAGCAGAGGCCAGAAAACTACTGGTCCGTGAAACAAATATGGGCCGGGCGCAGTGGCTCATGCTGTAATCCCAGCACGTTGGGGAGCGGCAGAGGCGAGTGGATCACCTGAGATCAGGAGCCACAAATCAGCCTGGCCAACACGGTGAAACCCATCTCTAACTAAAAACACAAAAATTAGCCAGGGCATGGTGTTGCATGCCTATAATCCCAGCTACTCAGGAAGCTGAGCAGCGAGGATCACTTGAACCTGGGAGGCAGATGTTGCAGTGCAGTGAGACAAGATCATGCCATTGCACCCAGCCTGGGGGCACAGCGAGACCCTGTCTCAAAAAAAAAAAAAAGAAAGAAAGAAAGAAAGAAATGTGGCCCACCACCTGTTTGGGCAAATAAAGTTTTATTGGAACAAAGCCAAGTACATTTTTGTATATATCATCTATGGCTGTTTGGGGGCTACAGTGCTATATTTGAGCAGTTGCAACAGAAACAGTAGGTTCTACAAAGCCAAAATTATTTGCTGTCTGGCTCTTGATCACGAAGGCTTGCCAGTCCCTGCCCTAAAGGGTGCAGAGCCACCTGCCAGCAGCGTTCCCGGGTGAGTCCCTGGAGCAGAGAATCCACTCTTTCATGGACTGTTATGTGAGAGGAAAATCAACTTCTATCTTGCTTAAGCCTCCACATTTTGGAGACTCTTTGTCACAGCAGTTTATCTTTGCCTGATCTAATACACCTTCCAATCCTGTCAACCTCCAGCTGCACAATCGTCCCAAGCTAGAGCTGTCACTGTCCTCTCAACACCCCAGGACAGCACTTAGTCCATTGTACTGAACCGACTTGTTCCTGGATCTGCCTCCACGTAGATGACTATGCTCATCAAAAATAGAGACTCACATAAAAAAAGAAACAACAGATACCAGGGCCTACCCGAGGGTGGTGGGTGGGAGGAGGGAGAGGATCAAAAAACTACCGATCAGATACTACGCTCATTACCCTGGTGACAAAAAAATCTCTACACCAACACCCCCGTGACACTCGGCTTACTCATACTCACATAACAAACCTGCACACGTACCCCCTGAAGCCAAAACAAAAGTTGGAAAGAAAAATAAAATAGAAACTCTGCATATTCACTTCTGTATCCCAGGACTTAGCAAAATGCCTGTCACACAGCAGTCCCCCAAAGAGCTGGGTCCCTGAGACGGGCGTGAAGGAAGTTTCCCATCTAGGCCTCAAAGGTTTCAGATCACTGCCCCATATTTCTGTGGCCCCCTTATCCTTACTTCAACCTTATTTGTCTTTTGATCCATTGCTGAGAAATTTAGTACGACTTAAGAATTTCCACTAACTCGCAGATGAGGCTATTCCAAATCTTGAGTAAGTTCCAGCTTTCTTGGCACAGGTTCTAAAATGGCACGAGAACTTGATCTTTCTGGCTGGTCCCACTGTGTAAACTGTAGCTTCCCTATATACTGTCTTTTCCTTTGGCCATTCAGAATTGATTTTCTCATCACATTTCAAAGTATGGCATTCTTTCTACTGCCCTCCAAGTTCTATTCCGAGGAATAGATTCAGGTCTCAATATGTCTGTGGAGTAGAACCCATAAACCTGTCATGAATGTCATGTCTATCCAGTCTACTATAGACTCAATATACCAGTGGAGACAACTTGCCTTGGGTTTTCTTTGATTCCTTCCCATTTTAGTGGCACATAGGTGAGTGAATTATCCAAATCACACAACTAACAACCAGCAAGAACTCTATGCCAGACAACTAAAGGATAGGGCTCCTCTAAACTAAAGGATAGGGCTCCTCTAAGGCCTGTCGATTCAATTAAAAATTAGGCTTAAAAGAATTTTTGCCTGGGGACCCATATGTACATTCACACAATCTTCCAAGGGGGATAAATTAATGTTTTGACTTACAGCGTTTGAGACTGACAGGTATCGATCATAGCTGATGAGGACAATGTTGTATACAGATGCTGTACATAAAAGATAGTCAGTAGTGAGCCAAAATACACAGATTTCCTTTCCAAAATCCCATTCGAACAGCATGTGAGGGATGTACAGAGGAATGGAGATCACACCTGCACAAGGAAAACATAAGTGTAAAAAAATAGCACACATCAATGAATACAAATGGGCATGTTTTAATGGCTACACAACACCATGACATATCTGAATTCACTACAAATGCTTTGGCTGTAATTTAAAAATTCATGGTACTTCATCAAGCAGCTCAGGACTGATTTTCTACACACTCCTTAAATGCCATTTTTATAAGAGGGGTCATGAACGTTGCACAGCGGGCCCTCCTTATCCGTGAATTCTATATCTGTGGATTCAACCAACCACGGACAGAAAATATTAGGAAAAAAAGTGCATCTGTACCGGACACATATAGACTTTGACTAATAGTAATGACTTCTGGTCATTATTCTCTAAACAATACGGTATAACAACTATTTACATAGCATTCACATTGTCTTTGGTATTATACATAATCTACTGATGATTTAAAGTATACGGGAAGGGCCGGGAGGGGTAGCTCATGCCTGTAATCCCAGCACTTTGAGAGACCAAGGTGGGCAGATCACTTGAGGGCGGGAGTTCGAAACTGGCCTGGGCAACACGGTGAAACCCCATCTCTATTATTAAAAATAATAATAAATAATAAAGCATATGGGGGGATGTGCATATGTTATATGGAAATACTACAGCATTTTATATCAGGGACTTCAGCTTTCTTGGATTCTGCTATCTAAGGGGAGTCCTGGAACAAACCCCCACAAACACCAAGGG